TCCACTCACTGTCCCTCAAATAAATTTTTCAATCTTTTAGCATCTTTGTTAGTATTCTTCTGACCAAATTGAATCTTTCCAGGACTCATTGGTTGTAGCCCCAGCCCTTGCCCCTGCTAGCTAGACCATGTACCCACCTTTATTTATTTTTTATTTTTTATTGTTAAAAATTTTTACAAATTTTTAAAACTTTGGGTTACAAATTTTCTTCCTTCCTCCCTTCCCACCCACCCTCATTGAAAAGGCAAGCATCTCGATACAGGTTATAGGTGTGTAGTCATGCAAAACACTTTCATAGTAGTCATGTTGTGAAAAACTAAGTATATTTCCTACCCCCCATTTATTCTATTCTCTCTTTTGACCCTGTCCCTCCTCTGAAGTGTTTGCTTCTGATTATCCCCTCCCCCAATCTGCCCTCCCCTCTGTCAACCCCCTGCTCTCTGGTCCCCTTTCCTCCTTGTTTTCCTGTAGGGTAAGATGGATTTCCATACTCCATTGTGTATGTTATTCCCTCCTTAAGCCAAATCCTATGAGAATAAGATTCACTCATTCCCTCTCACCTTCCCCCATTTTCCCTCCATTGTAACAGCCTTCCCTTGTCTGTTTCATGTGAGATAATTTACCCCATTCTACTTCTCCCTTTCTCCTTCTCCCAGTACAATCCTCTCTCACGGCTTAATTTTATTTTCCAGATATCACCCCATCATCTTCAACTCACCCTGTGCCCTCTATCTATCTATACATACATATAATTTTTTTTCCCTCCCACTGGACTAATACTGACAAAGGACTCATGAGTTACAAATACCATCTTTCCATGCAGGAATGTAAACAGTTCAACCTTAATAAGCCTCTTATGATTTCTCTTTCCTGTTTACCTCTTCCATGTTTCACTTGAGTCTTGTATTTGAAAGTCAAATTTTATATTCAGCTCTGGTCTTTTTCTCAGGAATGCTTGAAAGTCCCCTATTTTATTGAATGACCACTTTTTTTTTTTTTTGGTGAGGCAGTTGGGGTTAAGTAACTTGCCCAAGGTCACACAGCTAGTACGTGTCAAGTGTTTGGTCTGAGGCCGGATTTGAACTCAGGTCCTCCCGACTTCAGGGCTGGTGCTCTATCCACCGCACCACCTAGCTGCCCCAGAATGACCATTTTTTACCCTGAAGGATTATACTCAGTTTTGCTGGGTAGGTGATTCTTGGTTGTAATCCTATCTCCTTTGCCCTCTGTAATATCATACTCCATGCCCTGCGGTCCCTTAATGTAGAAGCTGCTAAATCTTGTGTTATCCTGATTGTGTTTCCACAATACTTGAATTGTTTCTTTCTGGCTGCCTGCAATATTTTCTCCTTGACGTGGGAATTCTGGAATTTGGCTACAATATTCCTAGGAGTTTTCCTTTGGGATCTCTTTCAGGAGGTGATCGGTGGATTCCTTCAATTTCTATTTTGCCCTCTGGTTCTAAAATATCAGGACAGTTTTCCTTGATAATTTCTTGAAAGATGATCTCCAGGCTCTTTTTTTGATCATGGCTTTCAGATAGTCCAATAATTTTTAAGTTCTCTCTCCTGGATCTATTTTCCAGGTCAATTGTTTTTCCAATGAGATATTTCACACTCTCTTCTATTTTTTCATTCTTTTGGATTAGTTTTACAGCGCCTTGATTTCTCATATAGTCTCTAGCTTCCAATTGCTCCATTCTAACTTTTAAAGAAGTATTTTCTTCAATAAGCTTTTAGACTTCATTTCCCATTTGGCCAATTTTGCTTTTTAGGGCATTCTTCTCCTCATTGGCTTTTTGGATCTCTTTTGCCATTTGGGTTAGGCTATTTTTTAAGGTGTTATTTTCTTCAGTATTTTTTTGGGTCTCTTTTAGCATCACTCTCAGTTTTTCCTCTACTTCTCTTACTTGCTTCTCAAAATCCTTTTTGAGTTCTTCCATGGCCTGGGACCAATTCATATTTTTCTTGGCGGCTTTGGATGTAGGAGCTTTGGCTTTGTTGTCTTCTTCTGGTTGTATGTTTTGATCTTCTTTGTCACCAAAGTAAGATAATATAGTCTGACTCTTTTTGCACTGCTTGCTTATGATCTCAGCCAATTACTTGAGTTATAAACTCCTTGTTAAGGTAGGAGTCTGTTTCCAGTGTGGAGAATGTACTGTCCCAAGCTTCAGGGGTTTTGTGCAGCTGTTTTCAGAGATACTTCTAGGGACCTGTAAATTTTCAGTTCTTCCAAGGTGCTATGATCAAGGGTGAGGTGTTTACTCCTTTCCTGGCCTGTGCTTTGGTCTATGAGTGACCACAAGCACTCTTTTCTGTCTTGGAACTGTGAGGAGGATTTCCTCTCCACAGCCACTAGAAGCTCCACCACTCCAGCGCTCCTCCTCACACCTGGACCACCACCCAGAACTGTGATCCATATCCAAGCATGGGCAAAGCAAGAGAATCCTGCCTCAGCACCAGCAGAGAAATCCTTGCAATCCCCCTCTGATCAGCCACTTGATTCCCCCTCAGTCTGTGGCCGGAAGCTCAGGAGGCAGCTGCCACCCTGGGGCCAAGCTTGGGGAATGGGGCTGGGACCCCACACTTCTCTCTCACCACAGAACCAGATTTTTCCCACTGACCTTCTAAGTTGTCTTTGGAGTTCATGGGTTGAGAAGTCTGGAAACTGCCACAGCTGCCTGTGATTCAGTCTTCTGAGGCCTGCTCCAGGTTTGCTGCGGCCTGCGCACCTACGCTGAACTGCGCTCCTCTCTCTGCCTGGCGCGATATACCTATCCAATCAACCATCCAGGTTGTCTTGGGCTGGAAATTTGTTTCACTGTGTCTTTTTGTGGGTTCTGCTGCTTTAGAATTTGTTTAGAGCCATTTTTTGTAGGTATTTGGAGGGGTTTGGGGAAGAGCTCAAGCAAGTCACTGCTTTCCCTCTGCTATCTTGGCTCTGCCTCTATACTCACCTTTATGCCTGAGCCTAGACCTGTTTCTGGGGTAGATTAATGAACAGTCTGCCTCCAGAACTGTTTGCTCATATTTTTTATAGTCTCTTGATGTCAAAACAGTTGTTGTGAGGACCGAATTGTAAAGCATTTAGCATAATGCCTGGCACATGGTTGTTGTTGTTTGTCCTTTGTTTTTGAAGAGGACCTATGACATCACAGGGTGATGTCTTGACTTGCATGTGAATTGGATTTGAGTGAGGCAGAATTTCACAAAATCTTCAGCCTCACTCTCTCTTCCAGAGTCATAGAAGTCCAGTGGCAAGACAAAAGTCAGGATGACTGGTGATGGCCCAGGATGCAGTGCATGACCTTGGAGTCTTTCATGTCTGACCAAGTTTTACGTGCTCACCAGTGCATGCTTCAGCCACCTTCATGGCCATTGGAAAAAATTGTTCTCATGCGCCCAATCCACTGGAGTAAATCTTCACATGCTTGGGGTAGACAACCCCCTTCACCCAATTAATTGACAAATTCGAAATCTGTAGGTTACCCTCAACCTGGTTTAGCTCTTTTGCTGAAAAGATTTACCAGGGTGTGGCCACTGTGCACATTACAACTTCTTGGAGCCACAGGTGAGAGCTGAGTGCCAGGTAGACACCAAAGACTGATGCTCAGCAGGCCCTCACACCAGAGGTGCTAGTCTTCCTTGAACAACTCATAACCCCCTGGCACATAGTAGGTATTTAATAAATGCTTGCTTTCTTCCCCCCCCTTCCTTCAGTCAGATGGAGAGATACCTTCCCCATTGTATGGTTATGCCTTCAATACGGATATGTCGTATCTATACCCTAGGTCCAACTCTCCATGCTCCTGGAATGCGTTATAATCAGTCATCCTTGTCTCCTTCCACTCCAACCTTTTACCCTCAGAGTTTGCAAATTCATTTATAATAACTGACATTTACACAGTGCTTTAACGTTTGCAAAAGGAAAAAAAAGGCACAATTATCATTAATCCCCCTTTTTATGTATAAGGAAAACAAAGATTCAGAAACTTTGTGTCAAAGGCAAGAATGAAATCCTGGTATTTCTGACTCCAGAATCCATACGCCCAACCTCTGTATATTTCTTGACAACACCTTTAAAAATCATTACAAACCAAAAAAAATTACAAAGTAAAAATATTCCTTAGTTATATTTGGACATCATTAGGGGATTATATACTTTAAATTATCTACCCTTCCAATAGTAGAAACAAGTAATCATATTTTACACATGATGATGTGAGCAAAATGACAAACACAAAACATATAAATGCCAGCTATAATTATATTTTGAAAAGGGGAAGGGAGAGAAGAATTTTTTTTTTTTAAATTCCCAGTTTAGCAGACCCATACATGGAGAGCTGGACAGGGAATCTGGAAGAGCTGAGTTCAAATCCAGCCTCAGACACTTCCTAGAAATGTGACACTTTCCCTCATATTTGAAATGGAAACAATGATAATAATAACAATAACAACATCTATCTTCCAGGGTTGTTGTGTGGATCAAATGAGATAATATTTGTACAGGTCTTTTCAAACTTTAGAGCGCTAAGTGCTATTACCATTATCACAGTGCCTGGAACATAGTACTTGATTAATAAATGTTTATCGACAGGTTTTCAGTGGGAGATGGGGAGAGAGGAATTCCTTTTTTTCATTCCAAATCCGCTTTTCTTGTATCCCCAGCTTATTGACACATAGAAGGAATGTATCTATTTGCTCAGTGCCTTGGTTTAACTGGAGAGGACTTTTTGACTACTTCTGCCTCGGGGGAGGATACAGAAATTGGATTCTTATAACGACATCTGATTGGCGGAGGGAGACGTGCAGTAATCTACGCACGCAAAGGGGCGGGGCCTCAGTGATGGAGGACGTAATCCCGCCAGCTCAGGTCTAGGGGAAACTGCTGGGGGCGGAGCTACCCCTGTCAAGTCCCGGCAGCTTGCGATTGGGGAGTTCGGTGGGTGACGCATTATTAAGGCGCGGGGAGCGGGGGGGGGGGGAATTTGCTAGGTCTGCGGCTGCGCACGGGAAGGGACGCTGGTGGCTGCCCCGGGCGCCGGGAATTCTGGGGGCTGCGCAGGTCTCCTCTGTTTGCTACTGGGAGGGAAATGGAAGGTAGGGGCGTTGAGTTTCGGAGCGGGGCTCCGGCTGTAGCTCCCGGGGCCTTGTCGGCCCTGCCACCGGTGGCTTCGCCATCATTGTCCCCCGTCCCCGGCGCCTCCCTTGTAGAGGGTGGTCCTCTCACCCTCCGTACGAGGCCCCGCCTCTCCCCCCTCTCCCCGACCACTCCCACAGGAGACCCTCCCCCCTCTCCCTCCCCCCCCCACCAGTTTTGTCCGACGTCCTGACCCCTGGGACTTGGCCGTTTCCTCTTTACTTTTCTGGACTAGCTGTGTCCACCACCTGGCTGGCCCCTGGGGGAGGGCTCCCTGGAGCGGGGCAAGGGGAGGACGTGGGGCGCTGTGGAGCTTGGTCCACGTGTCGGGGCAAGGGAATGCAAGTGAGGGCCAGGACCTCTGGGAAACTGAGGCTGCTTTCCTCTATCTCTTGGGCATCCACTTCTGTATCCATTTTTTTGGGGGGGAGGTGGGATATTTGTAAGTTTCTGGACCTGTTGTATTTCTAATGGGTTTTCCTGCCTCTGCGAACAAACCAGCCAAACTCAGTAACAAAGCACAAGCATTCTCTGGAGCAGGGAGCAGGTCAGACCTTGAGAAGAAATGACCTCTTAGTGTGGGCAACAGAAGGCAGACTCTTAGTTGGGGCATAACTTTGTTATTCTTTCCTGTATGTAAATGCAAGTGGTAATTCCGAAGGTGCAAAGGGTGCTTTGGATTATCTCCCTTTTAAATGTTACTTCCCCTTTTCTCTCAAAATAATGGCATTTGTATGTTTCATTAAAATTTACAAAGCATTTAACCAATATTATATCATAGATTTTCTTTACAACAACCCTGGGAGGCAGTTATTATTTTTAGTTTTACAGAGAAGGAAGCTAAGGCACAGAAAGGTTAAGTGATTTGCCCTGGGACACACAGCCGGGAAGTCTCTGAGGCCAGATGTGGATTCAGGTTCAATCCACTATCCATTCTGTCCACTGCACCACTTTGGTGTCTCTAAAATATTAGCAAGATGTTGAGGTCTGATAGAACTCTCTTGATAAGAGGCCTACTGCTACTACTGGTTAGGATTTATGTAGTTCTTTATAGTTTGTCAAGTGCTTTACCTGTATGAATTCTGTTATTATTAGCCTCATTTTATAGATGAGGACACTGACATGTTAGTCGCATAGGGGGGCGTCACATAGTAAATGCTACTATGTATCTGATTTTGGCTTCAATGAGACAATTGCCCCTTAGTTTCTGGAGATGACTGACCGTTTTAAACATAGGCTTTCTCTTAAGAATTTGAAGTCAGAGGATCTGTTTTAACATCTTACCTCTGTAACTTAATAAGCTATGTCTTTTTAGGCAAGCCATTTTATCTTTTTTGGGCCTTAGTAAATGAAGAGGTTCCATCAAATGTCCTGTAAGGACTTTTCTACTTTCATGCTGTTTTTGTCGTATAGGTTAAAACATCAGTCCTAAAGCATGGTCTTTGGACCTCTGGAGATCCATGAGACCTTTCAGATGACTTGACAGGTGAAAATTATTTTCATAATAATACTAAGTTGTTATTTAACTTTTTATTCCTATTCTCTTGAGTATACAGTGGAGTTTTCCAGGTTCCACATTGGAACTAACTTTTAAGAAATTACCATTTGTCCAGTTTTGGTGTAATTTTGGTGTATCAAAGAATGTCCATGGTTATCTGAAAGAGCTATTAAAATACTCTTTTCTTTTCTAACTGCATGAGGCTGCATTTTCTTTATATACTTCAGCTAAAAGAACATATTGTAACACATTGAATGCAGAAGCAGATATGATAATCCAACTGTTTTCTCTTAGGCCAGATTTTAAAGAGATTTGCAAAACCATGTAAAACAGTGACAGTCTTCTAATTTTTGTTTCAGAAAATATGATTATTTTTTCATTGAAGTGTTATTCATATGATTATGTAGTGGATTTATTGTTATTTTAAAATGAGTAACATTTTAAAATTTATTAGTTTTAATTTCTGATATGGTAAATATTAGTAGATGTAACTCAGGTAAACAAAAGCTCTCTGGAGTCCTCAATTTTTCAGTATAAAGGGGTCCTGAGATCAAAAAGTTTGAGAAGGGAAAGAATCATTTCCCTGTTTTAAGGAGGGTAGGTGAATGAATATATAATAAAGGCAAGCACAAATATCAGCAAAACCCAATTGTGTGATGCTTAGTCTCCGACCTTTCCTAAATCTCCTTATAGATTTCTCAGTGATAGAAAGCTTTGTTACTTATTTTTTTCTTGGATCAGGGAAGAAAGAGTAAGAGGTGTTATTAAAAAATAATGAGGTAAATTTTTTACAAATTCATTAATTATCTCCAAATAATTATTATCCTTCATAGCCTCTTTTGAAGACTGCATTCTATTGCAGAAATGCTGTTTAAAATGCTTTTTGTATTTTTTCAGAATTACCTTTGGGGACAGTTTGAGAAACAAAATAAAAATAGTTGTATTTTATTCAGTTACACCTAGTTTTTGACCAAGAAGGTTATTTGCCAGATCCACCCACATTAATTGATCCAACAGGTAGTGGAGATAAAAAGTAAAAAAATGACACAAGGAACTTGTTTTGGGAAAGAGGATGCAACATATGAGGATCAGCGATTATTTGAGGCAGGTTAGAGCACTAACAAGTGAGGGTATCAAGAAAGGCTTCCTGAAGGAGGTGAGGTATGAGCTGATCTTTGAAGGAAGTTAGGAATTCTAAGAGGTTGAGATGAATACATTCCATATATTAAGGACAGTGTTAAAAGCAAGGAGCCTTGAGATGGAGTGTTGAGTTTTAGGAAATGTCAAGTAAATCTCTTTAGAAGAGAGTGCATTAAGGATAATAAGAAATAAACCTGGAAAGGTAGGTTAGAACTAGATCATGAAGGGCTTTAAATTCCAAGATGAGGAGTTTGTATTTTCTCCTAAATACAATAGGGAGTTACTGAAGACCGAGCAGAGAAGTGATGTGATTGGAATTGTGCTTTAGAAAGATTATTTTAATTTGGCAGCTCTGTGGAGGTTAGATTGGAGAGGAGAAAGACTATCTGCCGGCAGTCCAATTAGGAGGTTTTTGCAGTAGTCCAAGTTAAAGGTGATAAGGATCTGAACTAGGGTGGTAGCCTTATGAATGGAAAAAGGGGAAAGACTCAAGATGCTGTAAGTAGATCGAACTAGCTTAGAACTGAAATGAGGGGGTGAGGGAGAGGAAGTAGTTGGGCTTAATTCTGAGATTAATTTTTCACTGTTTGCAGAGATCAAATCCACTCTCAAAGGATGAAGATTTGCCTCCACTGGAGGTATTAAAAGAATGTTACACAATGTTTGCACATAGTTCAGTCAGTCACTCAGCAAATATTAAGTTCCTGCTGTGTGCCAGGCACTGTGCTAGGTGCTAGGGATAGAAGTACATAGAGCAAACTAATCCCTATATGCAGTGAACTAATAATCAAACAGAGGAGACAAGTACATATAAAATACATGCAGCAGAAATAGAAAATAAATACATGTTTGTACAAGTTAATTCAGTAGTCAATAAATATTAAACACCTAAACACAGTCTAATGGGGGAGACAGCAAACAAACATATGTACAAACAAGCTATGTACAGTACAGGATAAATAGGGAATAATTAAGAGGCTGGGCACTAGAATTGAGAAGGGTTGGGAGAGAGATGGAGTAGACAGGATAAGTAGTTTTGAGAATCACCAGCAGAGAGATGATAATTAAATCCGTGGAAGGAGATGACATCACCAAGGTAATCTGAGAGGGAAGTAAACTTCCAACTATTGGGATTAGGAAAGACTTCGTGTTGAAGATGGTACTTAAGCTGCATCATAAAAGAAGAGACGGATTATATGTCATAGGAAGGAGTCAGTTCCAGACATGAGGGACAGGCCGTGCAAAGGCATGGAAATAGGAGATGAGATGGAGGAACAGAGAGAAGGCCAGTTTGGTTGGATTGCTGAGTGGATCCCAGGTTAAGAACAGTTGCTTTAGAGCAGTGGTTTCTATATTTTTCCATAATGGTAAAACCCTTCATTTTAAACAGAACTGGCAGAATCCTTATAGTAAAATCCTCTATAGTAATTTTTCATTCCTGTGAGCAAAAGCATAAGGTTAATTTAAAACAAACTTGAGATGTTTCAGGGTTCCTTGCAGCATAGTTTAAGAAACATCTGTAAAGTTAAACTACATAGCTCTCTACTGATGGAAACTATGAGCCCCTTCAGTGTACCTCTACTTTCTCCCCTCCCCCATTTTACAACAGAGTAAGGGGAGGGATTAGTTATCCTTAGTCCAAGAGATTAAAATTATGTCACAAAGACAAGCCTCTAAGCTATTGGAGGGAAGGATAGCTGCACTCCATAGAATGAATTGGGGCCAGGAGGAAAAAAATCCATCAGTCACTGGGGCCAGGAAAAAGGAAAAAAGAACATTATAGAAACTGCAAGGTCTGTGTGTCTAGAAACAGGTTTACTACACTAGAGGCAGTAGGTGGCACAGGCCTTCGACCTGGAGCCAGGAAGCCCTCATTTCAGATACTTCAGATACTAGTTGTGTGACCCTGGACAAGTCAACCTCTATTTGCCTCATTCCTCTTATGTAAAATGGGGATAATTAATAGCCACTTGCCTCCCAGGATTGTTACGAGGATCAAATGAGATTATATTTGTAAAGTGTTTAGCACAGTATCTGGCAGATATTAGGTGCTTAATAAGTGCTTCTTTCTTTCTTTCTCTCCCAGATTCATTGGTCCTGGTGAGGGACCTAGTAGGGAGTGGAAATACTTTCATCCCATTGCCACTTCCAGGTGCACTGTCTCTCTCTTTTTTTGGGGGGGAGTGGGGAGGAGTGAGGCAATTGGGGTTAAGTGACTTGGCCAGAGTCACATAGCTAGTAAGTGTTATGTGTCTGAGACCGGATTTGAACTCGGGTCCCCCTGACTCCAAAGCTGTTGCTGTATCCACTGCACCACTTAGC